TAAGGTTCTTTTGTAAAAATATTTAAATACATAGCTTTGAAGGGAAAAAAATTCTGGTTTGGGGGGGGTACTTCCTCATATAAATTTATTCACAGAATATATACACACCTACATGTATGTATGCACACATGTTTATATATTACATATTCAGAGAAATACACATGTATACATATATTTATTTAAAAAATGAAAAACAGATACCATTTTCCACTGAGTCACCCTTGACTCGGGGTTTTTACTGCTCCCAGGGTTTTTAATGACTGAGTTGTAAGGAGCAGTTCACCAGGCCTTTCTTCCGAGACGTCTATGGGTGGATGACCTCCAACCTTTCTTCGAGCTCCGTGTATCAGCCGCTCTCAATTTGAGAATGGCAAATATTTAAATAGTACATCCATCTTGTAAATAGCCTAATTATGCTACACTATATTTTTTGTGCAGATTAAAATCGTTTCATTAGTTAAGCACACACACTTAAAATACATCACAGGCTCTGGGACCCGTGCTTCAGTGTCTTTGTTTTGTAATCGACACTGGCTCAAAACATGGAATGGAACTGGCCACATGCGTGTCGGTTCCTTGGACATTGGAACCAAAGGATGCGAGAGGCACATGGGGATTGTTCTGTCCAAGGTTTCATTTCATTCACCAGGAAAGAGACCCAGAGATGTCCAGTGACCTCTCAGGGCCACCTCGCTAGAATGTCCTACCACTATCCCTATGCCCTGCACCCAGGGCTCTGGTCCCTGGTTCATGCCTCCTCAAGAGAGCAGAGAGGGGAAGTTGTATGTGGGCACACACGAGGGGCCTGTCCTGCAGGCAATGACGTCCCACTGCAATCTTTTTTTTTTCACTTAAGGGGAACAACACCCCCCCCAAAAAAAACAAACAAAGAAATGAAAAAGACAGCATTTCTGTAGAACATCTCATCGTTCAAAACCCTTTTGGAACTGAGTTATAATATTGAACTCCTGACCCCCCTGGGAAGGCGGCCTGGCAGTCGTGGCTGTCTGCTCTGCAGGTGGGGACACCAAAGCCATTCTCACACACCTTTCCAAGGGAACAGAGCCCTCCGCAGCAGAGCCTCCAGGGGTCGCTCGCTGCGCCAGCACTGAGCTTCCCCCGCACACAGTGTGTCTCCTGGGAATCCAGACAGCAAGAGCGTGTTTGTCCTCCTGAGGTTGTTCAGAAACCAGCCTGCCTATGAGCTCTGAAAGAAACGATTCTTCATGCGACGAGAAAGTTCATTAGTCCTTCTAATTTGTTTTCAGAAAGGAAATGCTATTTCAGGATAGACATGAACCGCGGGCATTTTCTGCCAGGGCTGCCAGCCCCGCGAGCGCTTAATGATGCCCGGTCTGGGAAACGGGCATCTGGCGATTACAAAGGCAGCCCTGGTCCTCTCAGCCTTCTTTGTCTGACGCCCTTCTTTCTACCAGGGAGGGTCTTTTCATTCGAGAAGCAAAAGGCAGCCACGTCCAGCTTTCCTACCAGCACAGCCCACTCGAAGCTACCGCACAGCAGAGGGAACACACCCAGGCAATCTCCGTGGGAGCCTGCCCTGCTGCAGGCAGTTTTCATCTTTCGAGAGCCCGGGGGTGGGGGTGGGGAGGCGGGAACAACCACCCGAACTTCCACATTTATGGCAACCCAGCATCAGGGCAAAGTGCTATTTTCTTAAGTGCTCACAGCTTTGAATCACCACCAAGGCCAGGAAATGTCTGGTTTATTTTCCCAATAAACCCAAAGAAAACCTTAAATCCTCCTCTCCCTTTGGAGCTGCCAGAGGTGCCACGGGCGGTGGGAGCAAAGGCTAGCGTCTAATTCAGTCTGACCCTCTCGGGTTAGCCTGGGCTTGCGGCATGCTTCTCATGTTTAGACTGGTTTGACACAAATCATGCTGAAAAGAGGTTTCTTTTCTTGTCTCCCAGTGCACAGTTGAACTATGGTGGCAGGCTGGACAATGCCAGCCCCCTCCTCTGACTTAGCGGTCAAAGAAGCATTCAGCCTAAGCAAACACGTCCTGGGCAACTAAGGCCCAGCCACATTCCACAGAGATGATCAGAGATCCATGCTAATCACTTCTCGCTTAATTTAGCACCAATCTACTCATTTATGTTATTGCTACTTGAATATTGTTGCAAGCAATTCTTATATTGCTACCATCTTCTATATAAGAAGCGAGAATTTTTTTTAAAGGCAAGATATTAGAAAGACTTAAAAATACTTCATAGTTCTATACAGATGTCTTATTTTCAGCTTTCTACTTTATTTAGCCATAATAAAGTTGGTCTAAAAGCAGTAAAAATTCTTGCTTATCATTGTAAGAGAAATCGTTACCAGTTACTTCTACTCCCATCCAAATCCCCTTAAGACTGAAATGCTCACAAGACTACTTACTTGGTCAAGGTATGTATGGAAGTTTCTTAGTGACAAACAAATTGTGATGTTTTAAAAATAATGCCTGGAAAGCAAACAACGTTCATAACTCAGCGATTTTTTTCAGACATACCTTGTTTGGAGAAAGCAGCTATTTTGTTCAAAATCTTTCCACCACACAGAATGGAGACCTAATTTGCCGTAGGTTTTTCTGCATCACAAATTCCATCCAAGTTATTCCAAGGAGGAAACAAGAGATCCAAGCACCTTTTCTCTTCTTTTCAGAGGAGCTAATCAAACATTCCCATGCACCGCACCGCCCCACTCTAGAAAACACATTTTACAACACACACACACACACACACACACACACACACACACTCACGCCTTCCCACACTGGTTTTAGGAATGAATTAGGCGGTCCTTTTTTTTTTTCAAATGTCCACTCCCACTTGCTGTTTTCGGGGCAAGGATTTCTAAATATTCTTTTTCAGCCCAAAGCACACATTTTCCGGTAAACAAATTCTACAATTAGAAATTCTGAAAAGTAGAAGCGAGCGCCTCTGTGAAATGGAAAATTCAAATAATGCTCTGAAAAATACTGTGTCTTCTCTCGTTCTTTTTCTTTCTCCAATGCTAGTGCCCCGCTGGAGTTCACTGCAGAGGAAGGGGGACTGGCAAAAGGCTACCAAGCTGATGCTATGACATGCTCGCTCTGGGAGTGAAAACACTTCACTGTCACATGTGCTAGTGCGATTCTGTTCCCTTCTGTTTTGCTCCTGTCTTCTCTGCACTTGGGCAAACTCGGTGACATGGCAGGAACAGGACACAAGATCAAAACAGTGGGCAGCAAGGCCTGACCGTGTTTCAAAACAAGGAAACAACTAATGATGGATTGTCCAGAGTGATATTGGCCGATTTTAGTTAGTTCTTTATGTACTAGTGTCACCAATGAAATGGAAGGAATTCATGATAAAAATGCTCATAAATAGTTCACAGCCTTTGAAAACACAAGCCTGGGGCTCTTGCTGAGTTCACCCTGGGAGAGCCCCTCTCCCCTGGCTGCGAGCTCAGGGATGTCCCCGCCTGCTGGGGAGCGTGTGCTCAACGCGCCCAGTGCTTAAGGCCAGAGCCGGCATTCAAACCTACAACTGTGGGAAGCCAAAGCCCAAGCACTGTCTTAGGACTCAGAGTCTCTTTCTTCACACTGGTGTATTTTGCGTCCTTTCACTGAGCTCCAGACAAAAGGAAGCGTACGTGTGTTGAAAGGCACCGGACTCGATGCTCAGAGAGAAATGCAAATAAGGTATCACGTACAAAGCAATGAGAGATGGTTTTATTCTCATCGGATGGGCAGGTGTGCGGCGATCCAACAGGCTTAGATCCATGAACAAATATAGTGATTCTGAAGACCCATCGGGGCATACTTAGTCAATGACATATGGGGCCCAGGAGCCACCAGTCCCATTCAGGGATATATCCCTTTCACGCCCCGGGGACTCAGGGCATTAGGTATGGGAGTTGCACGCTGTGAAATAACACTGGGCAGCAGTTGGGAGCCAAGGACGCAGAGTGAGGTATGGAGCATCCATCCTTAGGCCAGGCCACCTGAGTTTGACTATTAGTTCTAGTATATGGCATTTGGCAAATAGCCCAGTTTCTTTGGTTCTTAAGTTCTTTCCCCCCCCCTCCCCCCAACTGTAAAAGGAGGGAAATAATAAAACCAATATTCCAGAGTTGTCAGCAAGTTTAAAGAAATAAATAATAGTAAAATTCTTGGAATCTTGCACATATGTTCAAACCAACCAAACCCCCACCACCCTTGAGCAGATTCTGATGGAAAGGGATCCCAAAGTTCCTATAATGTTGCAAATCTTTACAGGAGCAGAAACTTCTCTTGTGGAGGGGCCGATGGGTTTGGATTGGCGACTGTGCAGTTAGCAGCCCAGTGTGTAACCTACAATGTCCCCAGGACTCCTTTGGCTCATTATAGAAAATGCTACATAAGGGTTTGGCAAATCAATTAAAGGTACCTAGAGCTGTACAGCAGCACCCATTTGTTAGCTCATATTTCTCTATGGCAGAACTCCAGGCATGATGCGTACCGTTCTCTGGTCTCTGTCTGACAAAGCTGACACCCAAGTGGTGTTGGGCTGGACTCTATTTGGAAGTTGCAGGGAAGAATCTGGTTTCACACGCACGTAGGTTATTGGCAGAGGCCAGTTCCTTATGGTTGTAGGACTGAAGTCCCCATTTCCTTGCTGGTTCCCAGCTAGAGGCTGCTCTTCACCCCTAGAGGTTGCCCACATTCTCCACTACATGACCCCCCTCTACCATCAAGTCAGCAGTAGCATGTTGATCTTTCTTAGGCTGGAAATATTATGCTAATTTCCTGTTCTGTACTAAGCCAAGAACAGCCCTGCTTTTAAAGGGCGTGTGTGGTTAGGTTAAGCCCACAGGGGAATCACCCTATCTTAATGTCAACTGGTTAGTAACCATAGCTCCATCTGAAAAATCACTTCTGCTGTAAAACAAACATAACCTAATCATGCTCCAGAGGTGAAGATCACAGGGCCACCTGAGAATTCTGCCTACCACAACTGTTAATCTTAAAAAACATTATTCTAAGGAAAAAGTAAAACACAATGCAATACTAGTAATGAATGTTAAAGAATATGTATATATACCCTTAAAGAAATAAGATACAAATAAGCGTAGATGTATGCTCTTCCACGTTTATAGCAACACAGTTCACAATAGCAAGAAACTGGAAGCAGCCTAAATTCCCAGCAGTGTTAGAATGGATAAAGAAACTATGGTACATACACACAACGGAATACTAAGCAGCCCTGAAAAAAGAGATGAAACATGAAACACCGCATGACACGGAAGCTGAGTGAAGTGAGTTGATCACAAAAGGACAAATATTGTATGAGTTCATTACTGTCAGGAGAAATACCAATTGAACAAATGTTAGGGACCAAATCGCAGACCAAGGGGTAGAATATCTGCCCACTGGTCATGAACCACACATCACCCCTCTTATGTGCACTTCATAGTAATCACCTTGAAAGAGGAGACCTCTCATCGACTGGGGTCACTCCCTCAAGAAGGGGGAAGAGGGTGATGACCATCCCCTTGTTGCTATCCAACACTGAGACTAGACGGCGACAAATCAACAGGCCCTGCACAGCAATGAGAGGAGAGCCTTACTGGAAAACCAAGTTCAGACCAGCAGAGGGGGGCATCTACATTCAAGAGGAGGCACTTATATATGTGTTGGTGGGGAGGAGAGGTAAATGGGGTGGGGGTAGGGGGAGCAACCTCACATCGGAAAGGGATGTTAAACAATAATTGTAGGGAACCCAAGGGGAGAATAAAATCAGTTCTATGTTATTGGGTAGACACTAAATAAGGCATCCCCCCAGGGCCACAGCAGAAAGACTCAGTGTGGAAGCCCGACTGAATGAACTGAGCCCTACCTCAAAGCTACCTGTACCCTTGGATTTAGGACTGAAACTCATTGATGGGAGAGGAACCACAGGATGGCTACCCCAAGACTGTGGAAATGGCAGTTGTTGGACCTTAGATGGGACCCTTGGCATAGTGGGCGTCCAATGAAAGGAAGCCCAGAACCACCGTTATTTAGTACCTCAATGCTTCCCTTGCGTTAACATGACCGATGTTAATCTGAAAGGCAAGGATCTGCCTCATAAGCAATGTTACAGTAAATTTTCTCCTGGCACCAACCCCCATGCTCAATGTAAACAGAGCTCAATAATTAGGAAATCAATCTTCACAAAGCAACAATTCTTGGATTGAAGCTCACAGTAGGACTATACTTGCATAAACTCATATCAACAGTACCTTAAATTCATCGCCATTGGATTCATTATTGATGTTATCAATGTAATTGTTTTATACACCATGGGGATGGGTGACAATGATTTTCTTTTCTGTTTGTTTTTTGGTGGGGGGCGTTGTTGTTATTCTTGTTGAGTTTTGTTTTTTTGTCATAATGTCAGAGTAAACCAGGGTTGTTTGTAACCTGTGGACAAGCAGATGGATTCTGGGCTCCCACTTAATTCTAGTCCCAATCCAAGAGCAGTTCATTCTTATGACATGGCCCTGCTTGATACACTCCTTCATGAAGAGATCACTGAAGAGAAGGGTGCTTCTGCAAAGTGTGGTGAAGAAAGCAGCTGGTGCCCGGCTATCAATTGGAGTAGTATCTGGGGTCTTAAAGGCTTGTTTTCAAACAAGCAGCCATCTGAGTGAGGTGTCAGCTACGTCCGTATGGAAGAGGCACACCAGCTTGTGTGATCTCAAGACGACAATAACAAAGTCCAAATATGACGAAGGAAAGGTATCAGACCTTAAACTGTGAACAGCCAATTTTTAGAAGACTGTGGAGGACAGTGGGATCCCAAAATCCATCAGCAGAGTATCTCGTCAGATTAAGCCTCTGGCAGATTCCCTCTGGCCACAGGCAAGGGACTCAAACACCTTTACTATTAGACAGAGACGATTATAAACTTGATTATGGTGGATGGAACGCCAGTATTACATGATACTTAGCCAGTTGACCTCCTTCTTGATCCAACCTGAATTTTCTCTAGGCTTAAATATTTCTCGCTTGTCCATGACAGAAATTTCTTCTCTTTTTTAATATTCTTGATGGTCATTTCTTTCTTACTCTTTATTTTTATTTTGTATCCTTTTATTATTCTTTTCCTCTTTCTGTTTCATTTTGTTTTTGTTTTTTATCGTTTCTGTTTGGTTTCCCAGTTTATGAAGCACAGGAGTGGATGCATAGAGACAATAACTGAGCAGTGGTTTACTGGGGAAGGGATGGACAGGGCGAGGGGGATGGGGGAACAAACAATGAATGCAGGAGGTGGGAGGGAGCACTAGAACTAACTGTGATGATGTATGTACATTTTTAAAAGTGACAACAATGGAAGAGTCTCACATGGGAATTTTATATTAAGAAAACTATGATTTAAAAAATGAAGAAAGAAAATAAAGCAAAGTTGACGAATGATTACTGTGGGTGAGATGGGAAGAATTTTGCTTAGGGGTCATTGCATTTATGTCAATGGCTCTAAAATAATTTGGCAAAGGATATCAATGATGGTTGCACAACAGAGTATAATCAATGGCACCGAATTACACATGCAGAAGGTGTTGAGTTAGAGAGAGTTTTATTGTGTATTGATTTCCCAGTTTTAAAAAAATTATACTGATAATGAGTACAAGAAGTAAATGCTCTAAAATTGATTGTGGTAATGATTATAC